AGAATTCATCCCTTCACATGGGGTGGGCTCTCAAAGTCCCTTATTACACCAGTGAACTTGTTACTTTGTTTTTTATTTTGCTTTTGGAGACTAGGTCTCTATGCAGCCTTGGCTGTTCTAGAACTCACTGTGTAGACCAGGCTGGCCTTGAACTCATGGAAATCAACCTGCCTCTGCTTCCCAAGTGCTGGGATTAAAGGTGTGTGCCACCACCATTCTTTTATCCCTATTCTTAAGTAGAAACTACAATTAACTTCAAGTTCTTTCTAATGGATCGTACAGTGATTAAAAATAATATGCTTATTACAATCACCGTTATTTTTTTCTATCTTTAACCATCATTGCTTCAGCACCATCTGAAAAGATGCCAACACAACCTTTCCACTGTAAATCCATATTTGAGGAAATACTGTCTTAGTTAGGAATTTTTATTACTGTAACAGAACACCACAACCAACCATAAACTGGGGTCAAAATAATTTTATTTCACCTTATAAATTATTAGTCCATCCCTGAGGGAAGCCAGAGCATGAACTCAGGGTAGGAACATGGAGGCAGAAGCTGATGCACAGGCCATGAAACAGTGCTGCTTACTAGCTTGCTGTCAATGGTATACTCCCTTATATACTCCAGGACTACCTGGCCAGAGGAGGAACTTCCTAAAATGGGCTGTAAAATGCTAGGCTCAGTTTCCATCTTGATTAAAACTTTGTAAAAGACCTTGAGGCAGAGGACTCAGATAAATCCCCCTGAAATTCTAACTTAGAATCTCTGGGATCATAAAGTCATTGTTTTACATGTTATATTTGGAATTAGATACAGAATAGGAAATAAAACAATATGTTTTTGTTTTTATGTATGTATAAATGTGGGGGTTGTACATGTCTATATGTGTGTGAAGGTGTATGCATGGCTGTGGAAACCAGAGGACAATCTTTTTTGCCAAGAGAACAAGACTTTATTGATCTTTAATATGCAAAACCAAAATTGCCAACTGAAGAGCAGGAATAAAAATGACTTTAAACATTAGGATTAAAAGTTGACCCTGGGGGTTGGGGAGGTGGTTCAGTGAAACAGGGCCCTGGTTTAATTCCCAGCCCCCACATCCAGGAAATGAAATGCTGGATTCTGCATGCTCACGCTTCAGACACCATAAACTAACAACTCAAATGTTTAACTCTGGCTGAGACTGAAAAGGACCAGGTCTCACTCAAGCCCCAAGAATCCTGGAGTTCCCACTGTAGCTGGAACTGGCATTAACTCTCCCCTACCTAATGTATGGACAGTGAGTGAACACTCAGATCTAGAAAAGGAATTGAAGACTTTTCAGGGGCAGGTGTCTGGGAGTAGTGCTGACAGGAGCAGAGGACAATCTTAAGTGTTGTTCTATATATAATATCTACTTTTTATTTTTAATTTTATTTAATTATTTTATGTGTGGAGGTGTTTTGCCTGCATTTATGTCTATTCACACTATGTCTGTGCCTTGTGCCTGAGGAGGCAAAAGAAGGCATTGGATCCCCTGGCACAGAAATTATAGACAGTTGTGAGCTGCTTGGTGGTGCTGGTAATTGAGCTCGGGTCCTCCAGAAGAGCAGCCAGTATTTTTTAAAATAGATTTTATTTAAATTACAAACAATATTACTTTACATATCAATCCCAGTTCCCTCGCCCTCCCATTCTCCCATGCCCCCCACTGACCCTCTCATCCCACCGCCCCCATCCACACCCCAGGGAGGGTGAGGCCTTCCATGAGGGATCATCAAAGTTTGTCAAGTCATTTGGGGCAGGGCCTAGGCCTTCCCCTGTGTATCTAAGATAAGAGAGTATCCCTCCATGGGAAATGGGCCCCCAGAGTACATTCGTGCACTAGGGATACATCCTGGTTCCACTGCCAGAGGCCCCATAGACTGCCTAGTGCTCCTAGCTGACATCCACGTTCAGGGGGCCTGGTTTGGTCCTATGTTGTTTTCCCAGATGTCAGACTGGAGTCCATGACTTCTTACTTGCTCAGGTCAGCTGTTTCTGTGAGTTTCCCTAGCATGGTCTTGACCCCTTTGTTAGTCATTCCTCCCTCTCTGCAACTGGATTCCAGGAGTTTGGCTCAGTGTTTAGCTGTGGATCTCTGCTTCTGCTTCCATCAGCTACTGGATAAAGGCTCAAGGATGACATATAAGGTAGTCGTCAATCTCAGTATCAGGGAAGGGCATTTAAGGTAGACTCTCCACTATTGCTTGGGTTCCTAGTTGGTGTCATCCTTGTGGATCTCTGTACAATTCCCTAGTGCCAGATTTCTCTTTAAACCTATAGTGGTTCCTTCTATTAATGTATCTCTTTTCTTACTCTCCTCTATTCTTCCCCTGACTCAATCTTTCTGCTCCCTCATATCCTCCTCTCCCTTCCTCTTCTCCCTCTTTCTTTCTCCTAACTCCCTCTCCCCTCCACCATGCTCCCAGTTTGCTCAGGAGATTTTTGTCCCTCTCCCCTTCTCTGGGGGACCATGTATGTCTCTCTTAGGGTCTTCCTTGTTTCCTAGCTTCTTTGGAGGTATGAACTGTAGGCTAGTAATATTTTTCTCTATGTCTAATATCCATATATGAGTGAGTATATACCATGTTTGTCTTTTTGTGACTGGGTTACCTCACTTTGGATGGTTTCTTCTAGTTTCATCCATTTGCCTGTGAATTTCAAGATTCCAT